ACCCAAGCCATGGTATTTTCAATAACCTCATATGCATGTGAAAGCTGGACAGTGAATAAGGAAAACCGTAGAAGAATTGATGCTTTTGAGTTATAGTGTTGGAGGAGAATATTGAAAAAATGCCACGGGCTGTCAAAAGAACCAAGAGATTTGTGTTGGAAGAAGTGCAGCCACAGTGCTCCTTGGAGACCAGGATGGCCAAACTTTGTCTCTCATACTTCAGACATATTGTCAGGAGGGACCATTCACTGAGAAGGGTATCATGTGTGGTAAGGTGGAGGGTCAGAGAAAAAGAGGAAGCGCCCTAGTGAGATGGATTTGCAAAGTGGCAGCATCAATGGGCTCAAGCGTGTTAACAATTGTGAGGTTGGCCCAGGACCAGGCAGTGTTTCGTTCTGTTATGTATAGGGTCGCTATGAATTGGTACCGACTCGATGGCACCTAACAACAACAACAACACTCTGTCTATGAGGTCCTGGTGTGGTGCTGTGGGTTAATACACTAGACTGAAAAGTTGGTTTGAACCACAAGGTCAGCAGTTCACGCTCACCAGCGGTTCCTTCAAAACCGTGTACAAGGTCACTCTGAGTCAGAACTGACATGATGCATTTAACAACTCTGTCCTAGAGAGTGACATCTGAAGAATTTACATGTTTTAAAAATGTCAGCTCAATGAATCTCCAAACTTCGTAGTGTTTCTGTGAAGGGAAGACTTTTTATAGAATAAACAGAATGACAAAGTCATGCAGAAACCAAGGACCCTGTTTTTTTCCTTTGCTGTTGTGTGTCATTGAGTTGGTTCCAATGCACAGCAACCCTGTACACGGTCTCCAAGGCTGTAAATCTTTGTGGGACCAGAAACGTCATCTTTCTCCCAGAGAGTTATTGGTAGGCTTGAAACATCGACCTTGTGGTTCACAGTCCGGTGCTTATCTTACAGAGCCACTGCGCTCCTCAGGTTCACTGTATTACCATTCAACTATATTTTTAAACCCACTGCTACTCTAGAAGCTGTCCACTCTGGATTTGAGCGGTCATGTTAGGGCTTTCTGGACCTAGAAGTCAGTCTGACAGGGATTTGAATGGATATTCAGCACCTTATTGTATGGCCCCTGTACCACCACAAACTCTAAGGAAAATGGGAGCAGGGGAAACAAAAAGTAACATCCCAAAATAAAAGAGCATTTTCATGAAGCAGAAATGCTTCAAAGAGAAACACTCAGTGACTCCTTTGTCCATGTAAGCAAAAGCCATGCTCACAGATGGAACAGAAAACTGCAGATGCTGTAAAATGAGTGTCAACAGTGCACGGTTAATTAAGGCCTTTGTGCTGAGTTCTGCTTCTGGTCTACTGGAGGCTGTTTCCTGTCCCCCTTGTCAGCATGGTACTGCCCACAAGCACACTGGCACCAAGAAGCTCAGGCTGGAAATATCCATATTTCAAACTTGTTCCTTTATGAAAAGGAACAAGTCAGATACTATTCTTAGCAAGAAACAATACAAGTTTTTTTCCCTATAAGTAAGTTCAGCAAGTTTGCTGGCCTCCCTCCTCCCCCACGTCCACACAAAGTTTTTCATTATTTACACTGTCCAAGTGTAGGGTCGTGGTCTGTGCGCTAGACCTAGGCTGACACTGGCCTGCTGATGGATGCCGGGAAGTTCTATGGTACTTGGCACCCTGGTGGTTTCTGCTCTTTATTTATTTACATGACTAGGGAGAAAGATGAGGCTTTCTACTCCCGTAAAGATTTACACCCTCGGAAACCCTATACAGGGTTGCTATGGGTCGGAACCGACTTGATGGCACATAACAACAACAACAAGGGCACAGCTACATCTTGAGTTACTGAGCCCTAAGCAGTAACTAGCAAATTGAAAATGTCCATGTTGTTGTTGTTGTTAAATGCTATCGAGTCAGTTCTGATTCACAGTGACCCTAATAGGGTTTCTGAGGAATGGCTGGTGGGTTTGAACCACCAATCTTGTGGTTGGTAGTCTGATGATTATCCTACAGCACCACACCACAACTCCAAAAATGTCTATGGTGGTGGTGACTGTGTGCCACTGAGTCAGTTCCAACTCATAACAACCCTACATAGGGTTTCTGAGGCTGTAAATCTTTATAGGAGCAGAAAGCCTCATCTTTCTCCCATGGAGTGGCTGGTAGATTAGAAATACTGATCTTGTGGTTATCAACTCAGCTCATAATCTATTATGCTGCCAGGGCTCCTTAAAACTGTCCTCAGACATTTAAAAATAGTTTTAAAATCCTGACATCTGCAAAGACTATGTCATAATTTACCAGCTTTGGTGTATAAAATAGTATTGGGTATTTGTACCAACTGAAGGTTAAGTTTATGTATCTGTAGAGAAGGCGAAACCAGTCTTCCTGCCATCAAGCCTGAGGCCCGGGGTGATTGTGAGGGAGAAATCATCTCAGGAGAGGCTGTGAATCAATGAATTCACATAGGGATCAAACCACTTAAGCACAATTTCCTTGTGGAACTGGAACAAAAGTGGCAGGAGTTGGATAAGGAAATAGTCGGCAAAAGGAAGCAAAGTTAGAGTGGTGACTCCCAGAAATGCCGTGAGGCTGCAGGCTAGCTGAGCGATAGGGGAGGAATGTGTAGGCATACTGGGGCATAAAGTCAGCAGGGAGGAAAACAGGCAACCCAGGCACCACATACAGGGCACAGGCAGCCAATGGCGGTATTTCTCTTGACAAAGGATACATGCTGTTCCATGAGCACACTGGCAGAAGATGGAAGGCTTAACCTCAGTGACACCTGTCACCCTGCCAGGCAGAGCTAGTCATCTCCCTCAGAGAACCCATGGTATACCACGTCTGGCTCACCATTCTGTAACCAGGGCGTTTGGTGGGCACCTCTATCCTCTACTGGCCTGTGAGCTCCCCAGCCATGACTCAGGGGTGTTGAGTCAATGCTGACTGGATGAGGAATGATTGGATGAGACCAGAAAGCACTGACTGTGAAGCAAGGGGAACATGGGAGGGTAAGTGTGTGACCACAGTGCATCCGGACATTTCCTGAGCCAGGCATCAGCGGACGTGGACATGAAGGCCGGAGGCGCCATCTTAGCCAAAGTGATGGGGCCCAAAAGAGAGGACTAGACAGGGAGCCAGGAGGCCTGTTCTCTAGATCTGGCTTTGTCATAGTGCATTAGATGATTCTGGAGAAATCACTGTCTGACTTTGTAAAATCAGGGAATCAAGTTAGGTCTCTGGTTCCCAAACCTGGCTCATCAGAATCACCACCACACGTGTGCATGCATTCACACATACCAACACAGATTCCAGAATCGGAAGCTTAGGGCGGGGCCTGGGTACTTGCACAGGTTAAATCTCCTGGTATTGCCGATGATGAACCAGGTTTGGACTTCACTGGGATTAGATAAACTCCAAGGGTACTTGCAGCATTAGAAAACAAAGACATTTTAAAGACCCATTTTTTTTCTATACTTTCTTTTGAAGGAGTCATGTGCTTTTCTTGCTTCAGACTTGACAGAATTGAGCCTAACACTTGAGTGAGGTCAGCTACGAGAGGAGCCAGGTGTGCATGGGTAAAGGCCACAACCCAGAATGGGGTGGGGTGTGACTCTGAAACCAGCACACCCCAAGGGATGGACTTAGTCAGTCTTCCTCCCAGGGCTTCCCTGGGGCCAGCAGTGACATCAGATCCCACACCTTAGGCATGCAAGTGACTGGGTCCCAATGGTCCCACCAGCACCACTTCTCTCGGTGCCAGTTGGTTACATCCCACCCTCCTGACACCTACTCTGAGCTTCCACATACTGAGGACATTGACTCTTCCTGTGCCAGGTGCTCGGCAAGCCCCACTGCACTGCATCGCCATCAGTGTCCTATGGAGTTCTTTTATTTCAGCTCCATTTTACAGACTGGAAAACAGGTTTGCCTAAAATGATAGAACTAGGAGCTAGCATTTAATAGGGCTAAAGGAGCTCTGGTAGCGCGGTGGTTACGAATCGGGCTGTGGACCTCAGGGTCAACAGTCTGAAACTACCAGCTGTTCTGCAGGAGAAAGATGAGGCTTTCTGCTCCCGTAAAGATTTACAGCCTTGGAAACCCTGTACAGGGTGGCTCTGAGTCAGAACCGACTCCACAGCACATAACAACAACAACAACTAGAGTCCTGGTGGCACTGTAGGATCAGCACTGCTAACCACAAGGTCAGCAGTTCAAATTCACCAGCCGCTCCTTGGAAACTCTACATATAGTCGCTATGAGTTGGAACCAACTCAACAGCACTTAACATCAACTGGAGTCCTGGTATGGCACTGTAGAATCAGCATTGGACTGCTAACTGCAAGATTGGCAGTTCAAACCTATCAGCTGCTCCTTGGAAACCCTCTACAGGGTCGCTATGAGCTGGAACCGACAACCCCACTGGATCTTGATTCTCACAAGGTTGGTGGTTCAAACTCACCAGCTGCTCCTTAGAAGAAAGATGAGGTTATCTATTCCCATAAAGATTTACAGATTCAGAAATCCTATACAGGCTCGCTATGAGCTGGAAAGGACTCGATGGCAGTGGGTCTGGTTTTTTTGGGTTTGATTCCCAGCCACCTGTGCCGTGCATGCACAGTGATGACCCATCTGCCAGTGGAGGGTTGTGTTGCCATGATACTGAACTGGTTTCAGTGGAGCTTCCAGATTAAGGCAGACTAAGAAGAAAGATTTGGCAATCTACTTCCAAAAACCAGCCAGTGAAAATGCTATGGGTCACAATGGTCTGATCTCCAAATGATCCCAAGGATGGTGCAGTACCAGGCAACGTGTTACACTATTGGAAATGGGCTGATTTGGAGGTATCTAACAGCACAACTATCACCTGACCCCGAGTTTATATTCTTAGTTCCACTTCTTAAAGTTTTTGGAGTGAACCCCCACCCGAACTCTTCCTGTACAGAAGAGAACAGAAACATCCCCGGTTAAGTCTGCAGCCAGGGCGTTCCCCACTTACCTTGGCCAGCCTGGCTCTCTTGATGAGGTCATTGAGTTTGCGCACAGCTGCTTTCTGTGGGAGGCTCTGGATGTCCCGGAAGAGGTCCTGGGCCTCAGCCTCGAAGAGCCTGCGGTTGTCGGTGTTCTGCAGGGGCTGTGCCCAGAAGGAGCCGATGTAGACGCGCAGCACCTCAGGTGTGTTGATGACCTTGCCCAGTGACCACATGAGGGCCCCGTAGACGCGCATCAGCTGCTGCGTGTCCACCTGGTCGGCTTTGTTGAGCACCACGCGGATCTTGTCATCCTGGCCCCGGAAGGCCTTGATGGCTTCTGAGAACTCATCCGAAATGTCCAGTTTGTGAGCATCGAAGAGCAGGATGATCCTGTCGACCCGTTCTGCGAACCACTGCAGGACCTGGCAGAAGTCATACCCTAGGTGGAGAGTGAGGAAGTCAGTGCTGTGGAGACATGGCACCAGGAAGCTGCAGAAGGTACCTGCTCTCGGCAGGTGCTAGGGAGTGGGCCTGGCTCTAGGCTGTAGGCACTGGAGGTTTCACTACCTAAGACCCATTTCAAAGGCGCATTTTGGGGTGGACCCATCTGGCTAGTGCAGGGCATTGCAAGAGCCTTTCCATGGGAAGAAACAGGGAGTAATGAGGGCTATTGGTCCCCTTGATGGAGCACTGCTTCCACGTCTACAGTTTTGGTTAGTCCACACAGCTCTCTTACTCTATCTAATAGTCTTTCTGTAAAAGCACAGGTCCTGGGTCAAATATTCTTCTGTAGAAATCTCAACCCGAGTTTTTGGAGAGTACCTAGGAGGTCAAAGGCTGGCCTGGCTGAAACTGTGAACACTATTTATCATTTGGGCTATTTATATGTTAAGTATGTTATCAATATTTTTGAAAGTTCTGTCTCACATTTATTCTGTGAAGTGGTTTCTTGCCAATTTCTTTTTTAAAACAGCCAGGCCCTCAACAAATTCTTGCTTTGGCCATGTACCAACACTCTCCAACTCACGCAGTTAAATAAACATGCCTCTGGACCTGTGGTCAAGACTCTCAGGCATTTCCCCAGGGAAGCCGATTCCCACAAAAAGCAAACAAGAGGAGGCGGATTTCACAGTTTATTTTTACTTGTGGTCTGATTAGTTGTGGAATCAGTCTTTTTTTTTCTTTTTTCTTTTGTCCGTTTACCAGTAACTTTATTGAGATATAATTTCACATATCCTATAATCATCCATCTAAAACATACAAGTCAATGATTTTAGTATATTCACAGAATTGTGCAACCATCCTCAGAATAAATTTTAGAATGCTTTAATCCTTTTTTATTTTTACTTTTGAGTGATCATATTCAAGTAGCTAAAGTTTTAAGAAAAATCAAGACCTCCCTACATTTTGGGCTTCCATCTTCTCAGTACCTTACCACAACAACAGGTTGTTGTTAAGTGATGTTGAGCTGGATCTGACTCACAGCGACCCTGTGTAGGGCTTCTGAGGAACAACCGGCGGGCTTCAACCACCAACCCTGCGGTTAGCAGTCCAGTGCCCATTTACAGCGCCACACTAGGATCCAGGTAAATATTGTTATTTTTGTCTTCTGCTTCTTTCCAGAATTTCTTATTGTTGTTGATATGAAGATTAAATGAAATTACAGATATCACGGATGCTTTAAACATGGGAGGTTTTGAGTTTGTTTTTTTAAATTGGGAGTTTTCAGTGGTAGAATTCTCAATGCCCATGCTGGAGTTCTGGTGTGGTGCACAAGATAAGCACTGGACTGCCAACCGCAAAGTCAGCGGCACAAGCCCACCAGTCACTCCTCAGAAGCCCACATAGAGTCTCTGTGACTAGGGACAAACTCGATGGTAGTCAAAAACAACAACAGTGAGGAAGGCCTGGGTTCAAAGGCTGCTCAGGGGTCCTCATGTGCAGCCACTGTGTACAGTATGTCAGTGGGGCCTCCTTGCTTGTTTCTATAATGCTGAACGTGTTTCAGCAGAGCAGGAAGAAAGGTCTGGTGATCTACTTCTAAAAATAATCCCAAGAATACTCTATGGAGTGCAGTGGTCCCACATACAATTCAAAATGGGGATGGTGTAGGACCACGTAGCATTTTGTGCATGGGGTTGCCATGACTCAAAACAAAACTCACTGCCATGGAGTCAGTTCTGACCCACAGCGGCCCTGTGTAGGGTTTCTAAGATTGTAAATCTTTTTTCTTTGCTTCCATTGTCTGTTTTTTTTGATGTACACCAAAGCACTCAGGAATATACAACCATTTAAATAACCAAAGGGCACAACCCGCAAGCCTGCCCCCTGGCCATCAGCACACAGCCCCTCTCCCTCCCTGAGTCCAGGGTCCCCAGCCGCTCCATCTCTTCATGGCATCGTCTCTGCCTCCATCGCTAGTGTCACTGCTTCTCTGGATAGGGTCCTACACTCTGCTCTTCTCCCTTGATGGTCCCAGGGTCCTCCACTCCTGGACTACAAAGTCAACCACTCCTCTCCTCTTTTGTTACAAAACATCCACCTTTACATTTGCAACACTCACAATCAGTCCTGATAACAATTATTCACTTTTGAACCACAAGAGTCTTATCCCCATCTCCTTTCACCAGCCCCCATCCAGACAGGTTAGAAGCCACTCAGTGGAGATTCTTACCTACCCCTGTACCCTCTGAAACTAGGCTCCCTCTTGAAAGCTTGTAAGCCAGTCACTTTGTGACTCTGTAGTTCCCCCATTTAGGTAGCCAATGTCTAAGTTGCCCATCCCTGTCAACCCTGTGTACTGAGGAGTTGGGAATGATTCTCGCTGTAAAGATTCATTCCCTCTTTTAAGCTACTACATCCATAAGTATCAAACTGTAGCGGATTACTCTTTTTCCCTCTTCTTTCTTCCTCTAGTTGAGTTCTGATCATCCAGCCATTGAATCCAAATGGGTGTTATTTGTAAGTGTGGGTGTTCTTGTGTATCTCCCCTCACTTCACATTAACTGGATGCTTCACCCTCTGCTCTAGGTAGAATCCGTCTTAATCTAGCCCAATTTACAGTCCTGATGAGGTGTCACTTTTCCTGACTCCTACTCAAGTGCTATCTCTTCTTTCTTAAATTAGGAAACTTTCATGTGGCAGGTAACTTCAATGAATTCTGATATTCTGCTATGTTTGTTTCTGACACTTTAAAAATTCAGTCTAGTTTCTATGATAAATACCATACAATGATAAAAAGGAACTAGATCGTCACTTGTCAATACAGATAAATCTAGAAAAATCAATTGTACAAGAGGAGTATGTACAATAAGAAAATATTCATGTGAAATATTAAAATACAAAATAATACTCAGCAGTCTATTGATACATCCCCAAACCCAAACCTGTAGGTGTTGTGTTGACTCCGACTCCTAGTAACCCCACGTGCAATAAAGCAAAACTGCTCCATAGCATTTTCTTGGCTGTAATATTTAGGGAAGCGGATTGCCAGGTCTTTCTTCTGTGGTGTAACTGAGTGGGTTAGCAGCAGACCGCAAACTGCATAACCTTATGCACCTATGGACATACACTACACCAAAAATATGAAAGCGCTAGTACCAATTTCAGAATAATGGTAGACTCAGGATGGAGGGAGCGTGGAAGTTATGGCAGATCAGAAAGTGTCTAGAAGAGAAGGGTCTAACAGGAAAAAACAAAGGAGGTCAATGGGTAAACGTTTCCATGAATTCAAAGAACAGGTATAAGGAGAGCAGATTTATGAGGGCACTGAAACTACTCAGAAGTGTTGAAGACCCCTACCCACTCCTCCGCCCAGAGGAAACCATTGTCCTGAATGTGCTATTTATCACTATAGTGCCTCTTGCATACTTTCAGGTCAGCTTTCCACTTCTCTATTTTGTCTTACAGTGGCACACCCTGATTCTCTGAGGACTAGGAGGACAAAGGTACATCTCCGAATGTGGGCCAGAGTTTATTTTCATAGCTGTGAGCAGACAGTTTAGAACAGAGGAAAATCAAAGACCCATTGAGCGGGTCATGCAGTAGTATGTAAAGATTTAGAGTCAAGATTTCACTGAGTCCTGTCCCTGTGAGGCCAAAACAAACTGCCTCCCAAGGCACCAGTAAGTGCTCCTGTCATGTGGGACTGACTTTCCCACCAGACAGTCCCAGATCATGGGGGGAGAGACTGCAGAAGAGTGTGTGTGCTGTCCTTTGGGAGCTGGGAGGACACCACTGAACTATTCACAAGGACCTGCATATGGCCTTGCTTGTCCAATGGGGACAACTTGACCACTCTCTCACTTGGTCTCCCTGGAGACAAAAACAGGCAACTGAAAGTTTAGAAACAAAATGAAAGAAAATGCTCTGTCTGGGATGCACACGGGGTGGACATGAGTTATTTTTTTGCAAAATGTCCTTCCTTTTTCTGGGTACCTTATGACAATAAAAGCTGAAGGTATGGCTTACAGTTCCTAGCTCCTCTCCTTAGCAAGATGAGGTACAGACAGGTGAACTAGGGTCAGATAATCAATCAGCTCTTCCCAGGGGAGTGCGATAGTGCACGCTGGGGAAGCCATGCAAAGATACAGAGAAATTAGAGTTGAGTCTCAGTGGTGGTGGCAGAGCTGACAGTCCAGTGGCAGCAGCTGCTTACCCTTTTAATGAGCCCAGTTCACCAACCTTCCCATCAGTTCTGGGAGCAACCTGGTCTTCCCCCCAAATTTCTTTTCTGCTATAGTTAAAGGAGCTCTGGTAGCGTAGTGGTTGTGAATTGGGCTGCAAACTGCAAGGTCAGCAGTTCCAAACTACCAGCTGTTCCGTGGGAGAAAGATGAGGCTTTCTGCTCCCGAAAAGATTTACAGCTTCGGAAACCCTGTAGTGGGTCGCTATGACTCAGAACTGACTTCACGGCACATAACAACAACAACATAGTTAGTTAGAATCAGTTTCCTTGGTTTGTTACCAAGAAACATGAGTGGTAGATTGTTTTTTTTCCAGCAATTTACTGTTTCTGAAAGTTGGATGCCTCTTACAAGAAACTTGCTAGCCCCCAGGCAGAGAAGCTGAAACAGAGCTGCCTCACCTGTGTGTGTATGTGTTTGTCTCCCATGGAGGGTGCCGTGGTTGAGTTATGGACTTTGGTAGCTACCGCATGTGTTTGAACTTTAACTTAAATTTTGGTTCCGAATAGTGAGTTTCTACCACTCATCAGTCAGTTTGTAGTACTGTGGTGGCCTGTGTGTTGCTGGGATACTGGAAACTCTGGCAGCAGTATTTCATATACTAAATGATGCAGGAAGCATCAGAAGAAGATGGAAGGAATATGGCTATTGTACCAACAAGAAGTGGTTGATGTTCAACCGTTTCAGCAGGTAGCACATGATCAAGAAGCAATGGTACTGAAGGAGGAAGTCCAAGCTGCACTGAAGGCACTAG